TCAAGCTCACCCCTAATGATGATATCTCTCTAAATAAAATCCTTGAGGGAGATGAGAATGATGGAGTTTTTTTGTTTTTTTAACCAGAGTGTCATTTTAACCACTTGCCCTCCAGAGGATTTACCCCCCTTCCTTACCAGGCCATTTTTTGTTATACGGAGCTGCGTTATTTTAACTGACAATTGATCGGTCATGCAGCGCTGTATATAAATGAAATTTATGTCCTTTTTTTCCAAAAATAGAGATGGTATTTGATCACCTCACCTCATCAGTGTCAAAACACTGACAAATTTGAAAAAAAAAAAACAAAACAATATTTTTGACTTTTTGCTATAAAACCTATCCAAAAAAAAAATGTTTAAATCAAATTTCTTCATAAATTAAGGCCAAAATGTATTCTGCTACATGTCTTTGCTAAAACGAAATCCCAATAAGTGTAAATTAATTGGTTTACGGGAAAGTCATAGCGTCTACAAATGGCGGTATATATATATACTGGAATTTTTTTTTTTTATACTAATAATGGCGGCTATCAGTGACTTAGAGCGGGACTGTGGCAGGAATTTTGACACTGGGGGGGGGAACTGACTAACTGTCGCTGACATCCCAGTGACACTAATACAGTGATAAATGCTAATAAAAAGCACTGACACTGTATTGAGACTGGGCATGAAGGGGTTAACATATGGGGTGATCAAAGGGTTAACAGTGTGCTGTGTTGTGTTCTACTAGGGAGACATGCTGCTTTGTATTTCTCTGCTGTGCAGAGAGATACAAAGAAGCATGTCCATGCTGACAGAAGAGAGATCTGTGTTTACATACAGATCTTTCCCCTCTCAGCCCTAAAAAAGATCATCAAGTCCTGGTCGGGAATCGCCGCAGGGGACCCAGTGATTGACATCCCCAGCAGCCAATAGCGGCGCAGGTAGGGGGCTCAGGAAATGAAAATCACGTATATGTACATGATTTTGCACAGCCCTGTCACCCTGTAGCAGTACTTCTGCTATAGGGTGGAGGGCAACTAGTTAAGTGGTTCTGAAGGCTGAAGGTTTTTAACCTTTATGCATTCTATGTATGAAAATAAAAACCCTTCTGTGTGCAGCATCAACTCCGGCCCCCCTAATACTCACCTAAGCACCTTCTTGATCCAGTGATGTACACTGGAGTCTCGGCTATCTCGGGACTCCCTCTTCTCATTGGCTAAGACAGAAGCGGGAGCTATTGGCTCCCACTGCTGTCAATCACAGCCAGGGAGCCAATGAGAAGAGAGGGGGGTGGGGCTGAGCCGAGGCTCCGTGTGTCAATGGAAACACAGAGCAGCGGGTGCCCCCATAGCAAGCTAATTGCTGTGGGGGCACCAGACAGGAGGGAGAGAACAGGAGAGGAGGATTGGGTTGCTCTGTGCAAAACCATTACACACAGCAGGTAAGTATAGACATGTTTGTTATTTTTTTCTTAAAAGAAAATAAACCTTTAGAATGACTGTAAAGTTGAACTCTAATCTAAACCCACCCCTGTGGCTGTAATCTTCTTGTGCGGTGGGGATTAATAGCACTATATACTATACTATAGACTATGCCTGTCTTTTTCTGCCCCCTCCTCCATTCATATAAGCCGTACCATAACTTTAAGCCAATTGTCCCATTACTTTTGGTCCCTTAACAAGTGGGAGGCACATATGCAAACTGTTGTAATTCCTACACCGTTCACCTGATTTGGATGTAAATGCCCTCAAATTAAAGCTGACAGTTTGCAGTTAAAGCACATCTTGTTCATTTCATTTCAAATCCATTGTGGTGGTGTATAGAGCCAAAAATGTTAGAATTGTGTCGATGTCCCAATATTTATGGACCTGACTGTACCTGAATTCAACTTATTATCAGCCTCCTACAGTCAGTGTTTACCAGTGTTCAGATTAGTGGAGGGAGCAGCAGCAAAAGAAGCCAAAGTGCTGCAGAGCAAGGAGCATGCTGATAGGAGGAGAGAGCAAATGGACAAAGAAATTAGCTCATCATTCTGCTGCTTCTCTTTTAAAGCAGAGTTCCACTCACCCTGTCAAAAAATAAAAGTCAGCAGCTACAAAAACTGTAGCTGCTGATTTGTAAAAAACAGCCAATTACCTGTCCCTTGGTCCCATGGTGTCCTCCCCACAGCCCATTTCACCAGCCGTCCTGTATTCCAGGAGGCTGGCATCTTCAGTGTGGGTACCCAGCTGTGATAACTTGTGGCTTCACAGCGGGGTTCCCACTGCACATGCACGAGTAGTGCTGCGCTTCATAAATGGTCCCGTAGTCTTCTGGGACCTGTCACGTGTCCCAAAAGACTACAGGCAAGGAGGACACCTTCCGTTTTCCAATCGCCTAGGCGATCAGAGCAGAAGTGGGAGCGGGTACCTGTCAAATTCAGGTACCTACCCCCCCACCCCCCAAAGGTGCCAATCCTTAATGGGGAGTGGGGGAGCAGTCCTTAAAGCGGAACTCCCCCATTTGAGTGGAGCTCCGCTTTAAGATCCCGAGCAACCTTTTTAGAGCATTTTTTGAGCATTTTTATTGTGTGGCACCATTCATGTGAATGGGCTTCCCTCCACTCTAAACACGTGCTAACGAAGCTCATGTACTAACTTTTGGCAATGAGCTAAGTGCATTTTGCAATGGGCGTTCATTTGCATTTTACACTTGTTTTGTCACATAGAAATTCACTGCAAAACACGTGACTGCTGCCCAAACTTGGGGTGCCATGAAGAGATAATGTGCTCATTGTGCATTTTTTATGCATTTGCAAATGCGAGCAGGAACACGAGTTTATGCCCACATTTCTGCTATGCCCGGATGTGAGCAGGGCCTTACAGTAAGGCCAGGTTCACATATGTGTGACCGTGTGGCCCGAGATTTGCGCAGGCATGAGATCCCATTCATTTGAATGGACTCCCATGCACAGGAAAGAATTCACTTCTTCAGAAGTCGCAGCTCACACAGGAACCTCGGTTCCCAGTACGGTTGCGATTTCCAGTGCGGGCGGCGTGCCATTAGAATTAATGGCACCCAATAGAGGGTTCCGCATTCCTCTGTGTGGGTGGTATGGCTGCAGTATTTTGTGCGGGTCCCGTAGTGGCCACCCACACAGATGTGAACCAAGCCTAAACTGTCCGGTGACATGCTGGTGGAGAGGATAAGACCAGGGGCGGACTGACAACTCATGGGGCCCCAGGGCAATAGGGGATCATGGGGCCCCTGTGTCCTTGCCCAAACTCAAAAAAGCCTATGAAAAAGGTACCAGGGCATCTCATGGGGCCCCCTACTGACCCCGGGCCCTCAGGCAGTGCCCGAGTTTCCAAATGGTCAGTCCGCCCCTGGATAAGACTCTGTCTTTATTTCAGAGACAGAAATTAAACTCCTTCGGCAGATAAAACCGTTCTCATACACGTATTCTCATTTGTATTAAGGTTACATATCTTATTTCTCAGGCTTGGTTCACACCAATGCAGTTTGTGTTTAATCCGTTTCTGCAGTGCCTTTTGCATTTTTGCACAGGCGTTTTTGATGCATTTTGCATTTTTTATGGGTTTTCTTGGCCAACTTTTTTCTGGGCAGATTAAAAAAATGCAAAATGCATAAAAAAAATGCATGCAAAATGCACCAAAAATGCACTACATGCGTTTTTCTGCAGTGTCTCTATTGACATCTATTGAGCCAAAAATGCACCGTTTTGCATTTTAAAAATCCCCGACCCTTTCCAAAAATGCAGCAGCTGAAAAGCGCATAGACATGAACATGTCCCATAAGAAACTATGTTAAATGGACTGTAGTGCGTTTCTGCCAAAAAAAACACTAACAAATGTGAACCAAGCCTAAAAAGATGCCACAATACTCCCAAGGTCTCTTTTATAGGTTTCTGACAGATTTTTTGCAATGATATATGAAAATATTTGTATTAAAATGTAAACTGCCTGTGGAAAATTTCCAGATGACTGCATCAGGATAGCAGCGGAGCGTCGGATTGTTCGATTGTAGCGCCAGTACATGAAATGTAGAAGGTGACAGCGCTGTCATCCTATCCGACTCAGAGATGGAATGACAGTAGTTTAATGATTACAGAATAATGGTGAGATACCACATCTGGAAAGTGACAAGACTGCACAACTCTACTCTGTGGATATGATTTAGGACAACTCAAGGAAAACAGAAATATTTTAAAAGGCATTGTTATGCTGGACATTAGAGATGAGCGAAGTATTCAAAAATTTGATTCGGCTGATTCGGCGAATTCGCGGAATAAATTCGATTCGAGTCGAATATATTCGCTGCGAATTTAACTTATAAAAAGGGTGTTTCTAGGCTTCAGAGAGCCTTTATATTAGTGCAGAACACTGTACCTTTAATTTAAATGCCCTTGGAGTCTGCTGGGGAAGAGAAATAATACTGTCAGGCAGTATGACATGCAGATGAGTGCCGTCGATCTTAGAATCACCGCACACTTCACTCATTTGGGCAGTCACGGGGCCAAAACCAGAGTGTGGAGCCACAGTGTGGCGGTGGAGGCAGCAGCAATGGGAGGCCATAACAGCACCCTATGACAAAATGGAACCCACCAGCAGTGTGAGGAGACCTGAAAGTGGCACATGGCAGAGTGTGGCGATGGAGACAGCAGCAATGGGAGGCCGTACAGGGACCCATGAGACACTCTGGACCTGGCAGCAGCATGAGGAGAGGCGGTACAGGGGCCCATGACAGATTACGGGCCTGGCAGCAGCATGAGGAGTCGGTACGGGGGCCCATGGCAGATTACGGGCCTGGCAGCAGCAATGGGAGGCCCGTAATCTGCCAGCACCCTATGACAAAATGGAACCCACCAGCAGTGTGAGGAGACCTGAAAGTGGCACATGGCAGAGTGTGGCGATGGAGACAGCAGCAATGGGGAGGCCGTACAGGGACCCATGAGACACTCTGGACCTGGCAGCAGCATGAGGAGGCGGTACAGGGGCCCATGACAGATTACGGGCCTGGCAGCAGCATGAGGAGTCGGTACGGGGGCCCATGGCAGATTACGGGCCTGGCAGCAGCAATGGGAGGCCCGTAATCTGCCAGCACCCTATGACAAAATGGAACCCACCAGCAGTGTGAGGAGACCTGAAAGTGGCACATTGGCAGAGTGTGGCGATGGAGACAGCAGCAATGGGAGGCCGTACAGGGACCCATGAGACACTCTGGACCTGGCAGCAGCATGAGGAGGCAGTACAGGGGCCCATGACAGATTACGGGCCTGGCAGCAGCATGAGGAGTCGGTACGGGGGCCCATGGCAGATTACGGGCCTGGCAGCAGCAATGGGAGGCCCGTAATCTGCCAGCACCCTATGACAAAATGGAACCCACCAGCAGTGTGAGGAGACCTGAAAGTGGCACATGGCAGAGTGTGGCGATGGAGACAGCAGCAATGGGAGGCCGTACAGGGACCCATGAGACACTCTGGACCTGGCAGCAGCATGAGGAGGCGGTACGGGGGCCCATGGCAGATTACGGGCCTGGCAGCAGCAATGGGAGGCCCGTAATCTGCCAGCACCCTATGACAAAATGGAACCCACCAGCAGTGTGAGGAGACCTGAACGTGGCACATGGCAGAGTGTGGCGATGGAGACAGCAGCAATGGGAGGCCGTACAGGGACCCTTGAGACACTCTGGACCTGGCAGCAGCATGAGGAGGCGGTACAGGGGGGGGCCCATGGCAGATTACGGGCCTGGCAGCAGCAATGGGAGGCCCGTAATCTGCCAGCACCCTATGACAAAATGGAACCCACCAGCATGTGAGGAGACCTGAAAGTGGCACATGGCAGAGTGTGGCGATGGAGACAGCAGCAATGGGAGGCCGTACAGGGACCCATGAGACACTCTGGACCTGGCAGCAGCATGAGGAGGCGGTACGGGGGCCCATGGCAGATTACGGGCCTGGCAGCAGCAATGGAGGCCCGTAATCTGCCAGCACCCTATGACAAAATGGAACCCACCAGCAGTGTGAGGAGACCTGAAAGTGGCACATGGCAGAGTGTGGCGATGGAGACAGCAGCAATGGGAGGCCGTACAGGGACCCATGAGACACTCTGGACCTGGCAGCAGCAAGAGGAGGCGGTACAGGGGCCCATGGCAGAGTGGCGAAGCGTAAGCAGCTTAAATTGAAGGCCATACAGAGGCCTATGTTAATAAAATAATAACATGTTTGGGGCATGATTCATGCGGATTTAGTCAGTTGTGTCAGGAACTGGTGGTTTGAAATCCAGACTAATCCACGCCTGATTCATTTTCACAAACGTGAGACCTCTCCACACTTTGGGTGGACAGTCGTGTCCTCCGCGGAGTTACAATACCTCCTGCCGCACTAAACACGCGCTCCGATGCCACACTACTGGCCGGGCATGACAGCCTTTCAAGGGCAAATTCAGCTAGTTGGGGCCAAAGGTCAAGTTTCGTTGCCCAGTAGTCAAGGGATTGTCTACCTCGGTTGGCAGGGTGCTGTCCAAGTAGGCCCAAGCCTGTTGTTTGAGGTCCTGCTCCAGGTCCACCTGATGCTGCTGCTGCTGCGGCTGGTTAGTAGTTTCCTCACTGCGCTGGTGAAGAAAGCTACTCATCATCGACTGCAGACTGAGGCAGCTGCTGCTGGTGGAGCTGCCACTGCTCCTACCACCCCACCCCTCCCCTGCTGCCATGGCAGCGGAACGCGAGCGCACAGGGCCCACAGTGTCTGAGGATGGACGTTGGCGCAGAAAGGCAGAGACCAACTGACTACATAGGTGGGTTTTTATAGTACGTTATTTTGGCCTCCCTCTCAGCAGGTGTGAAAAAGGCCACCATTTTTGAACGGTAGCGAGGGTCCAACAAGGTGGACAGCCAAAAGTCATCCCTCTGTCTGATGGTTATTATTCGGCTGTCGCTACGCAAGCAACCGAGCATGCTATGGGCCATTTGTGCCAAGGAATGCGAGGGACTCCCTGCCTCCATCTCCACAGCATACTGCCACGGTGCGTCTGGGTCCTCTGTCTCCTCCTCCTCCTCCTCTACCAGATGCTCCCTGCTCCTCCACTCCTGTCCGCTGAGTGGAAAAACCACCCATTTCACTCAATAATTCCTGAGCACCAATGTGTCCTCCTCTACCTCCTCCTCTTCTTCCTGTCCTGCCCCCCACAGGGATCATGTGGCGTTGAGATCTGTGCGCCACGTCTACCGCACCCTGACCAGCCATTGTTAACAGCATTTGTTCCAGGACGTGCAACAGAGGAATGACGTCGTTCATCCCATAGTCCTGCCGACTCACGAATATCGTGGCCTCCTCAAAGGGCCTGAGCAAGCGGCAGGTGTCACGCATGAGCTGCCAATGGCTGACATCTAAGTTACACAGGGAGTACCTTTATCCGCTTGTAACATCAGGAAATCGGTGATGGCCTTTCGCTGTTCGTAAAGGCGGTCTAACATATGTAGGGTTGAATTCCACCTTGTTGCAACGTCGCAGATCAGGCGATGCTGTGGAATTCCGCTCTGCCGCTGCAGCTCAAGGAGGGTGTGCTTTGCGGTGTAGGAATGGCTGAAATGCATGCAAAGTTTTACGTGACATTTTAAGGATGTCTTGCAGTGGGATGGTGGATTTTAGGAACCGCTTGACAACCAGATTGAACACGTGAGCCATGCATGGCGCATGGCACAACCGTCCTTGACGCAGAGCAGACACCATGTTCTTTCCGTTGTCGGTCAACATGGTTCCGATTTTCAGTTTGCGCGGAGACAGCCATCTGTCGATTTCTCTGTTCATTACACTCAGAAGTTCCTCCCCTGTGTGACTACGTTCGCCAAGGCATACCAGGTGCAGCACAGCGTGACACCGTTGCGCCCTGCACATGTGATATGCCGGTCGGGTAATGGGACTTGGCACGGGGGTGGCGCTGAGGACACGGCGGAAGAAGAGGTGGTAGAGGCGGACATCTTTTCTGGACCAAGGACGTGCAAACGTGGAGGCAAAAGCGGCGTGACCTGTCCAAGTTGCTGGTGCGGCTGTGCCGGCACCACGTTCACACCCAGTGGCCGTAAATGACATGTACTGTCCCTGACCGTAGTTACAGCTCCACACGTCGGCGCTGCCGTGCACTTTGGCAGAGACCGACATGCTCAAAGACTGGCCCACCATCTCTTCTACATGTGAATGCAGGGCTGGCACTGCCTTTTTGGCGAAGAAATGCCGGCTTGGCACTCTCCACCGCGGCGCGGCACAAGCCATCATTTCTCGGAAAGGTGCTGAGTCCACCACTTGGAAAGGGAGGGACTGCAGCACCAGCAACTTGGACAGGAGGACGTTCAGCTTTTTGCACCGTCGGGTGCGTGCTCGCAAACTGTTGTCTCTTGGAAACGGATTCCAAGAAAGACTACTGACGGAATCCGTGAAGAGGAGTAGCAGGGGAAGGAGCATCTGAACGAGCGGAAGATGCCAACGAGCGACAACTCCCCTCAGCAGAGGTGTTGGAGCCTTGACTGGCTGATAGAGGGCGATTGACGTCGGGTGACGGAGCAAGTAACAGAGCGGGTGATGGAGCGGGGGCTGGGGCAGGCAGAACCCCGTATCTTTATCACGGTTTTCCCAGGCCACCGAATGGCGACGCTGCATATGCTGATGCAACGCTGTAGTCCCAACATGGGCCCCCTGGCCACGCTTGACTTTCTGGCCACATAGTCGACATACGGCTACGTTTACTTCCTCGGGCGGCTTGACGAAAAATTGCCACACCGCCGAGTAGGAAACTTTGCCCCCGCTACTCCTCACTGGCTGACTGCTACTTCCTCCGTGCACACCGGCACCACTACTGGCCGTGGTGGTAGGCTGCAGTGGAGCTGGTGCTCTACTCCGTGGCCGTTTGCCTCCACTGACACTGCTGCGACCCTGCTGCCTCCTGGGCAACCCACCGACTGTTTTGCTCGCTGCCAAGCTGGCACCCTCTTCTCCTGATGATGCGGAAGCAATAGCCTGATGACGACGAGGCTGCCAAGTGCGATCAGCCTCATCATCATCAATTAGGGTCTCCGCCTCACTACTAGCCCCCTCGCTGCGTGTGGGTCAGGAGACAGACCTGTCTCTAGACCGGCTACCGAGCCACTCTCCTCGCCACTACTTCTTCGCCTGGCTGCTGAAGAGGCGGATGTCTCCCCCCGTTCCTGACCGCCCTCTGTTAGCTCTTCCTCACTGTACAGTGGGGCTGAGCCCACAGCATGCGATACTTCGCTTGGTGAGGGAACACCAAAGGACAGGGGCAGGTAGAGGACACGTGATTTCAGTGGGCTTGCTCCCGGCCAACTAACGGTTGTGTCTGACGTACCCACCGACCGTCGGCTGTAGGTGTCAGAGGTGACCTGGGAAGAGGAAGACGACCGAGCCAACCAATCGATGACGGCAGGGTTGTCGGTGGAGACACGACCGCTGGATGACACCGGGAGCACTGGCCTCTGGCTGCGACTAGTGCTGCCTCGACCCCTTCCTCTGCTGCCACGTCTGCTCGCTCCTGAAACATTGCTTCCTCTGCCACTCCTCTGCGTGTTGTCTGACATACTCTTTAATTCAACGATTCTGTGTCCCTGAGTAACGATTCTGTGTCCCTCAGTAACGATTCTGTGTCCCTGAGTAACAATTCTGTGTCCCTCAGTAACAATTCTGTGTCCCTCAGTAACAATTCTGTGTCCCTGAGTAACAATTCTGTGTCCCTGAGTGTCCCTGAGTAACAATTCTGTGTCCCTGAGTAACAATTCTGTGTCCCTGAGTAACAATTCTGTGTCCCTGAGTAACATTTCTGTGTCTGTCCCTGAGTAACAATTCTGTGTCTGTCCCTGAGTAACGATTCTGTGTCTGTCCCTGAGTAACGATTCTGTGTCTGTCCCTGAGTAACGATTCTGTGTCCCTGAGTAACGATTCTGTGTCCCTGAGTAACGATTCTGTGTCCCTGAGTAACAATTCTGTGTCCCTGAGTAACAATTCTGTGTCCCTGAGTAACAATTCTGTGTCTGTCCCTGAGTAACAATTCTGTGTCCCTGAGTAACAATTCTGTGTCTGTCCCTGAGTAACAATTCTGTGTCCCTGAGTAACAATTCTGTGTCCCTGAGTAACAATTCTGTGTCCCTCAGTAACAATTCTGTGTCCCTCAGTAACAATTCTGTGTCCCTCAGTAACAATTCTGTGTCTGTCCCTCAGTAACAATTCTGTGTCCCTCAGTAACAATTCTGTGTCCCTCAGTAACAATTCTGTGTCTGTCCCTCAGTAACAATTCTGTGTCCCTGAGTAACAATTCTGTGTCCCTGAGTAACAATTCTGTGTCCCTCAGTAACAATTCTGTGTCTGTCCCTGAGTAACAATTCTGTGTCTGTCCCTGAGTAACAATTCTGTGTCCCTGATTAACAATTCTGTGTCCCTGAGTAATGATTCTGTGTCCCTAAGTAACGATTCTGTGGCCCTAAAGTCTCTCTGGCCCTAACTCTGTCCCTAATACAGACAGGTCTGTCTCTCTTGAATGACCGCAGGCTAATGGAGAATTGTAAGATGGCCGCAATTTATAGCTCCACCATTACACAGTGCTGGCTGGCTGGCTGGCTGCTGATTGGCTAATGCGATCACATGTCATGAATGAATGCATTATGGGTCAGCGCGCCTTGTCTGCGCGCCTTCCCAGAGATCCCCGCTCCGTCGCCACACATGTCGCCGCCATTTTTGGGAAAATTCGATTCGTGCATCCGAAGTTGGCTAATTTTCGGATTCGGCGCGAATCGAATATTTCCCAATATTCTAAACGAATTCCACTTCGCCATGTTCGATTCGCTCATCTCTACTGGACATACACTAGACAAAACATTTTATGAACTTTTTTAATTTTTGCAAATAAGGAACATGGAAGCAAATGATATTGCCATCAT